TAACTTGCTGTAAGCCGCCCTGAGTCCGCTAGGAGAAGGGCGGGGTATAAATTGAATAAAACCTAAACCTAAACCTAAACCTAAACATATATAGAAATTAGTGTCAGGTAGAAATTTACTGGGTGCTGGATGTGCAAAAATTATAGGTAGAGCTCAACATACAAACATTAATTTAGAAACCGTTCAAAGTTACAGGGGCATTGAAAAAAGTGATTTACGACACAGGTCCTCGCACTCATAATTGTAGCGTCCCTGCGGTCACATGATCAAAATCTGAGGGCTTGGCAACCAGCCTGTACTGTATTTATGAAAGTTGCAATATTCTAGGGTTGTGTGATCACCACTTGCAATCTTCCCAGCTGACTTCTGACATGCAGTCACTGAGGAAAGCTGGATTTACTAACGACTGCCAGATTCACTTAATGACTGCAGTAACTCACTTAACTGTGGCAAAATAGCTTGTAAAATCTAGCACCCCTCACTTAATGACTGCCTTGCTTAACAACAGATGTTCTGGTCCCAATTGTGCTCATAAATTAAGGACTATATGTATGCCCTACTATGCAATCTTTCTTCATAGCATGCGATGCAACAACAGTTTGTGTGGTGTTCAAATTCATCTGCAGAATTTGGCAATTTCATTAAAATTACGGAATGAGAAACTCCATCCCTATTGTGTGACATCACAACAAAGGTACAGAATGGTAGCATTCTTATCACAACAGCATGATGCTCATTTGATCATTTGCCTTATCATGGATGCCTCCAATTTTGTTAAAATGGGCTAAGTCTGTCGTGTTGAACTCGCTCGCCATGTTCCTAATGGACTGATTTAAGCACATCAAGAACACATTTAATAGACAATCAAAGCAATTTGAAGAGCCAGTTTGGTCTAGTGTTTAAGGCACCAGGCTAGAAAGCGGAAGATCATGAGTTCAAGTCCTGCCTTAGCCGTGAAAGGCAGCTGGGTGACTTTGGGCCAATCACTCTCGCTCAGCCCAACCCACCTCACAGGGTTGTTGTGAGGAAAATAAAGGAGGAAGGTGTGTTGGGTATTTTCCCCACCTTGAGTTATTTAAAAATAATAATAAAGGTGGGATGGATATATACAAATAAAATAAATAAATCTTTCCTTGGCTGAGTCCATCCCTGCCTTCGCTCCATGCTGGTATGACTTCTATGACTCTCACGGCTAATAATGACATCTTTGTTTCTGAAATTCTTACTAAGAGCTTCAAAGCAAGCAGATGCCCTCCAGATATTGACTTACAACACCCATCGTTCCTATTTGGCAGATAGATTAAGAAGATACTGTATGGTTTTATAAGGAGAAGAAGAATGACAACTCAGTCATGGGAAACGGGAAAAATATACTGAAGAAACTTAAAATAGCCCCAACTTAATTTTGTTTGGTATAAGAGGGAGCAGAAGGAAACTCTGTCAGACATTCAAGATTCTCTTATTATAACCTATAATAGTGTTTCTCAACCTTGATGGCTTTAAGATGCATGGACTTCAATTCCCAGAATTGAAGTTGAAGTCCATGTATCTTAAAGTCACCAAGGTCGAGAAACACTGTCCTAAAAAATGAAGTACCATTACTGGAATTCTCGGGCTGTCTATTTCATGACTTACCCACTTCCACAAACTTCCAACTCATTCAATCCCATCCGAGTCTCCCACAAACATTTAGCAGGAAACACACGTGGATCTTTCATTTTTTTTTATTCCTCTTTCAAAATGAATGGATGGAGAATTCTTCCCTCAAATTCCCACCCAACCCGTTCCCCATTGCCTGAATACCCAAAGTTAAGTAAAGTGTAATCCATTCCTTGGGAACATCTGGAGGGGACAGGGTGTGGAAGATTAAAACAATAATATCTAGGAGTTGTGATGAAGCTGGCAAATGACTCCCCACCACCGATAAATTCCGGGACGCGTAGAACAGCCTTGCCGCATTCCACAAATAGTCCTTTGGCAGGCTTCCGGGTGAAAAATTACAGGTGGTTGTTTTCCGTCCCCACCCCTGGGGAAATCTGAATGAAATTCAATTGTCTTCAAGGGCTGCCATGGGCCGGACAGCTAAACTGAAGCAAGCCGTTTTTGGCCAGCATGCAAGGTGCTTTGCCTCCCGCCCCACCCTGCCTATGGCTTATTGCTATCTGTGGGTCACACGCAGAGTGTTAAGAAAACGGGATCTGAAACAGGAAAGTGAAAAGGTGGATGGAGGCCACAGAGAGGATAGCCCTGATGGAGATGTTCATGTTTTAGAATAGTCTGCAACGCTCGAGTCCTTCGGAGTCCCGCGAGGAGGTGCAATTCGGGACTTCGTCCTCAGGCATCTTGCTGTGATGGTCAGGCCCATCTTCAGCCATGACAGCAGCTGGAAATGAGAACAGCTGGAAAGGGCCCTCGGCGATGGGGAAGAACCACCAGAAGGAGAGACTCAAGAGCCCTGCGCAGGCTAAGACTGCGATAGAGGGAGGATGGATAGAACTACTCCCCATTTTGCAGATGGGAACGTGGAGCTTGCAGCATCGGCGGCCTTCCCCTTCGAAAGCCACGAATGCTTCCTCTGCTTCCCCAGGCCCAGTCAAGGCGGGCGGTCTTTACTGGAAGGGTCAAGCAGGTGGAGTTGCATTAACCAGACAGATCTTGTGAGATGAACTTGCGTAAGCGCTCCAGGTACTGGCTGTAGAGTTCGATATCGTTGTGGCCAGCTCCTTCCACCCAGAGGGGCTCCACGGCCTTCGGGCAGCGCTCGTAAAGGGCCAGGCCGTGAGAGAAATCAATCACCTCGTCTTCGGTGCCGTGAATGAACAGAACGGGAGAAGTGATGCGGGACACCTTGTCTATACTGCGGAAGAGAGAGGAAGAGAGAAAGTGAGGGTAGATTATTGCAGTGTTTCCCAATCTCGGCCACTTTGAGACGTGTGGACTTCAACTCCCACAATTCCCCAGCCCATATATATATATATATATGGGCTGGGGAATTCTGGGAGTTGAAGTCCACACGTCTCAAAGTGGCCGAGATTGGGAAACACTGCGGTTAAAAGGGTTAAAATCAAACAGAGCCTCTCTTCTCCAGGGGGAAGGTGGAGTCTGCCCTGCAGCATTATCCTGAAAGAGGAGCTGGACAGTTCTGTGTGCTTTACTCACTGAGCAAGAGGTAGATCAGTAGCTTAAATGTTGTAAATTCCAACAGCAGCAAGGTCCACCATCCTTCCTTGGAATTTACAGACAACCCAAATTAAAATATCAAAACAAAATTAAATGGCTGAAATCAGAGATTACTAATATCACGGGGTTTTCAGAAAGATGCGCAATGTCAGCCTTTTTAATTAAAACGAACTTACTTGGGGTTGATTTAAGGTTTGGGGAATGTTCAGAGGCAAAATGAACAGCTTATGCAAAAGCTCAAAACCTCTATTTCTCTGCTTAACAAAAAAAAAAAGCAGCAAATTCCAAAATGATGCAGTCCTCATTAGGACCCACAAAGTCTGCTGTGGTACTCAAGGGGGGTAACTCATGTCATTACGGTCTAAGACCTAAGATACTTTCGTACTGAAAATGTGTGTGCCCTTTTGACACAGAATCAGCGCTCTGTCGGTGAGCTACAGCCTCTTGCTTAAGCACGAAATAGGCCTCTTTTGTCAGGAGAAAAATCGGGTTACATAATATTCCTGATGGCCAGGGAAGAGATTAGCTCTGCAAATGACCACAAGTCCCTCTAATGGAGTTCTTTCTGAATTACAGTGAGCAATGTGCTTTGAACGTGAACGTAGTCCTCAGCTTACATCCATTCATTTAGTGACTACAGCAGGGGTCCCCAACCTTGGCAACTTTAAGACCTGTGGACTTCAACTCCCAGAATTCCCCAGCCAGCCCCATGCTGGCTGGGGAATTCTGGGAGTTGAAGTCCACAGGTCTTAAAGTTGCCAAGGTTGGGGACCCCTGGAGTACAGCATTGAAAATGGTGACTTATGACCGGTCTTCTAACTTATCACAGGATCCCTAAAGTCACATGATCAAAATTCAGCTACTTGGCAACTGTCATGTATTTAGACCAGGGGTCTTCAAACTTGGCTCTTTTATGACTTGTGGACTTCAACTCCCAGAATTCCTCAGCCAAGCACGCTGGCTGAGGAGTTCTGGGAGTTGACGTCCACAAATCATAAAAGGGCCAAGTCTGAAGACCCCTGATTTAGACAGGTTGCAGCATCCCTGAGTCTTGTGACTGCCATTTGTGAACTTTGCTTAATGACTTGATTCCCTTAACAACTGTAGTGATTTGCTTAACAACGATGGCAAAAAAGGTCATAAAATTGGGCATGACTCACTTAACAACCATCTTGGCTAACAACACAAGTTCTGCTTCCAGTTGTGATTTGTAAGTTGAGCATTACCTGTACTGTATAGTGAATCAAATTGGAAATAAACGAAGCAAATACTGAGTTACTACTTCTATTTGTAACTAAATGCAAACTGAGTAGCCTCTATACCAGGTGTCTCCAAACTTGACAACTTTAAGATGTGTGGGTTTCAACTTCCAGAATTTCAAGCTGGCTGAAGCCTGCTGGGAATTGAAGTCCACAAGTCTTAAAGTTGCCGTGTTTGGTGATCCCTGATCGATACGTAGGAAACTCTCACTGAAAAGTTTTTGGGAGTTGCACTGGCAGGATAGACTTGTCAATAATCATGCTTCTGAAAAAGAAATTAAAAGATTTGGGGGGAGGGGTGCTGACATAAAATAATAATAATAATAATAATAATAATAATAATAATAATAATAATAGTAATAATAATAATAATAATAATAATAGTAGTAGTAGTAGTAGTAGTAGTAGTAGTAGTAATAAAGTTGGAAGGGACCTTGGACCCCCTGCTCAGGCAAGAAACCCTATACCATTTCAGACAAATGGCTGTCCAGTCTCTTCTTAAAAACTTCCAGTGTTGGAGCATTCACAGCTTCTGGAGGCAGGTTGTTCCACTGGTTAATTGTTCTAACTATAAATCCAGCAGACTTCAACAGTAAATTTTAATTGTACATCTGCCTTCCTTGGCTGAGCTCCACACCCACGTTCTTGCTTCCTCAAGGACTTACTTTGGGAAAGCATCAAAGCAGTAGGTCTTTTTGGTTTCTGGGAAGGCCACACGCATGCCCGATGTTAAAGGTGAATGTAAGATAACAGCTGCACACTCATAGCGGGAGGCCAGGTCCACTGTGGGCACCGTCCCAATGCTTTGCCCATAGAGGATGATGTTCTCGGGGCTGATCCCGTATCTGTAGAGAGAGGAAAAGAAACCGCAGAGGTGCCGTCGCAAGGTAAATTACATCTTTTATGTGCCTTATGTACTGCTTGAAGAAGTAGTTTGTACAAGGGATGGAATTTGCTCTCTACAGGTGTAAAAATGTGATTTCCAAGTAGAACTTGACAGCTGATGCTATTTGGGGCTACTTGTCATGACTAAGGGAAGGGACATCCTCACCTGAAGGCAATCCAGCCCCAAATAGATGCTGGAATGAACAGGGCAGCCCACTTTGTCTGTGTCTCCTATTGATGAGCTGCCCGAAGGCACCTAGCAGTCTCACTCAGTTCTAAAGTGGTGGAAGGGTAGGCAGGCTGAACCATGCAAAACATTTATTTTCCTCTTCCCCGCTACTCCTGTGCCCCTCTCTCTCCCTGGCCCCCAAAACGGTTTGCTTCCTCTTGCTTAATTCTGTCCTTCTCTGGGTAGGTGGGCACATTTTCAAAACCCAGCATGAGGCAACAGCTGCCAATTATTTTGTAAGAAAAGATAGAATTGATAGAAGAGAATATTTGTAGCCCAGGGCTGAACCACGGGATCCTTGGTGCTTTCTGAGCTTGGTTGTTTTCTTGCAGATATTTCATTACCAAACTAGGTAGCATCACCAGTGTTAGTAGCTGCTAGCTCTACTAGCACTGGTGATGTTACCTAGTTTGGTAATGAAACATCTGGAAAAAAATAACCAAGCTTAGAGAGCACCAAGGGTCCGACCAAATTTTCAGCCTTACCAGGTAGACCAGACAGGAAACATAGCCAGAGGAGCTAATTCTATTTTATTGTAAAGCTACAATAGCAGACCTTTGCAGGTGTAAAAATACAGTTCTCCCACCATCTCCTTTACACCCCAAGAGTCCCTTCTCTTGTCTTGCCCTCTATCCAGCTGCAGGGTAAGCTGTCTCTTATCTAATTATTCCCTAAGTAGCATCTCTAAACCCAATCTCTCAAGGTCATTCCCACATACCACTACATCAGACATGTCAAACACAAGGCCCGGGGGCCGGATGCGGCCCGCAAAGTGGTTTCATGTGGCCTGTGAAGCCATCCTGGACAGTGAGGGAACGGCCCCCTCTGCCTTGGCCCTGGCCCAGGCCGGCCGGGAGCCAATGTACAATTTTGTGGTGGCCATCTATGCTGAAACGCATTCTGTCTTAGCTCCACAAAGCCGTCTAGAAACAGCGAGGAACCAGCCCCTGCTGTGTCGGCCCCGCACCCTGGGTGCATGCTGGGGAGGTGTCACCCTTTGTGAGGAATGAAGAAATGGACCATGCCTTGGCGCTTGCCCCGGTCCCACCCCCTTCTGCCAGAGACCCTCAGATCTGTCCCACTCTTGCCCAGGCCCCCACAGGAACCCTTGACGCGAACGATGTAGAGCTGGCCATGCCCACCCAGTAGGCCACACCCACTCCATCCACGCCCACCCAGTAGGCCGCACCCACCCGGCCCCCTGAGGGCAACCGCAATGCTGAAATTGAGTTTGACACCCCTGCACTACATGCTTCTGAAGATATTTCAGGACTTTAAGCAGCCAGTATAGTACCAGAGGCTGCTGCTCCCTTAACAGCACTGTTGACTTCTCATTTTTGCTTTTTTTAAAAAAAGTTTAAAAAACAACAACTCAGATGAGACAAGAAACATGGTGGGCACCAAAACAGGTGTCCACAGTCACACTGGCCGATCCGGGCCCTAATTTGGGCGCTAAGACAGGCAATGAACAAGTACAGCTCTTCTTTCGTTTGTCTATTTATGGCTTAGTATATCTACCCATCTTTCTTGGCCTCGAAAACTAAGAATGGAATCGCTATTTAGGAAGTATCCGATTTCTGAGAAAACATTTAAGGAAGAGGCCTCTGAGCGCCCTTGCTGGAAACTGATGGACTGATCAATCCTGACACTGTTATGAACCACCCTGGAGCTTTTGAAACAACAGCAACAACAACAACAGCAAAAGGCTGGTGGTGTTCTTCCTGGAGACTCACCGTGTGCGTAAGGCCTGCCAGGCTGCGTCGACATCAGCATAGAGGTTCTTTTCTGAAGGTTTTCCTGTGCTGGCACCGTAGCCCGAGTAGTCATAAGAGAAGATGTTGCAGCTAATCCGGGTGCCCAGGCTGATGTAGAAGCTACACATCTGGCCCAAATCCACAGCGTTGCCATGCGAGAACAGAACGGTGAACCTGGAGGAGAAGGAAGGGCTCAGAAAGAAGCAGGGGGATCACACCTGATCCTCAGGTGCAACCAGGGTGGTAAAGGCCTACTTTTTTTTTTGCAGGACAGAGTGTACCACTTCAGAACACAGACAGTCCTTGACTTACAACAGTTCATTTAGTAACCATTCAAAGTTACAATGGCAATTAAAAAAGTGACTTATGACCGGTTTTCAGAGTTACGACCTCAGCAACTTCCCCGTGATCAAAATTCAGGTGCTTGGCAACTAGTTCATATTTATGACTGCTGCTGTGTCCCAAGGTCGTGTGAGCCATCTTTTCTGACAAGCAAAGAATCTGGAAAGTCAGGTTCATTTAACAACCAGGTTACTAACTTATCAACTGCAATAATTCACGTAACAAATGGGGCAAGATCGATCGTAAAAACGTGCAAAAACTCATTTAACAAATGTCTCGCTTAACGGAAAATGTGTCCTCACCCCCTCTCTGCAAGTAGAAAATAGCACAGTGGGGGTGGAGGAGGAGAAGAGGTTGGTGAAGATCTCTTCTCCTCATTAAATAAGAACTGGAAACTCTTATTTAATACCGTGTTTACATTTGCTAACGTGAGAATGAAGTTTTAAACGGCTCCGCTATTTTCAGAGTTGGTTCGGCCTCCTTCCTTCGTAAGTCCCTACCATCTCATTTTGCCGTGGATCAAGGCTCATTACATTAGGCCTCTTTCATACAAAGATTTAGGGGCAGGGGTCTTCAAACTTGGCCTTTTTATGACTTATGGACTTCAACTCCCAGAATTCCTCAGCCAGGCACGTATGCCTGGCTGAGGAATTCTGGGAGTTGAAGTCCACAAGTCATAAAAGGGCCAAGTTTGAAGATTCCTGGTTTAGGGTATGTGTGAAATATGCTTAAATACGACTGTCTATGCTTGTAAAAAAAGGTGTACACCTCACAACATAATGAGGTGGCCGCTTCTGAGGCCAGAGCAAGATGCGTCTTTTCGAACCACACAGAGGAAGAATGGATTATGCTGTGTTGCACTTGTTTTTCCTGTAACCCACCTCTGTACAAACACTAGCACAGGTAGTCCTTACAACTTACAACTATTCGTTTAGTAACCATTTGAACCATTTATAACGAACTTATGACCGGTCCTTGCATTTATGCCTGTTGCATCTCCACCGTCATGGGATCAAAAATCTGATCACTTGGAAACGGGCACGGGGTGGTTTCAGACACTCATGGTGTCATGTGGTCGCCATTTGCAAACCTTCCCAGACGGCTTCCGACGAGCAAAGTCAATGGCGGAAGCTTGATTTACTTAACGACCACGTGATTCACATAAGAACCGCAGTGCTTTGCATAACAACCAGGGCCAAAAAAAAGAGAAAGATAATAGAAACGAGCACAACTCAATTAACAACCATTTTGCTTAGCAACGGAAATTGTGGTCGTAAGCCAAGGACTGTCTGCATTGCCAGCCACTCCCATAAGGAACCAGATGAAACAACAGCATAGCCCAGACCAGAGGTAGGTAACCTTGGCTCTTTTATGACTCGTGGACTTCAACTCCCAGAATTCCTGAGCCAGCATGGCTCAGCTTGGAAACCTCTCCCTTTCCCCTCAGCGTGGCTGGCTCAGGAACTCTGGGAGTTGAAGTCCATGAGTCATAAAAGAGCCAAGGTTGCCTACCCCTGGGCCCCAGACCACCTTTAGCAGCTCAGGGGTGCCATTTTCAAACACTTACCCAGTATTTAAAACACCGGCACAATTCTCCCTTTCTGCAGAAATCTAAAGAATTGTTACAGAGAAGTTTGGCCTCACAAATTTATTACAAACGGACGGCTGCAGTCTTAATTATGACATTTTCACCTTCACTGGCAGTTTTACGTAACTCAGTTTTTGGGTCATTTTGAGATTTATTGCTGTTTCTACTCCTTACGTAAAAGATGGAGACTAAAGTATCAGAATTCCTACAGATCCTACCAATGTCTATAAAATAAATACTGTCATCACCATTTCCCCACATTTTCTATTACAGGGAGAAATACTAGCAAGAGTTTTCTTCTCTCAAATTTACTATCACGACAGCGATCGTCCATTCTTTACTATAAAGAACAGGGTGTTTTTTTTTTAATTTCGGAAAGCTGACTTTTGGATGTATTTCTTTTTCAAGCACTCACTTTTGTCCTTTATTTGAGTCATTTAACATTTACCATACAAATGGCTCTATTTAATCCATAGTCGTTCACATTAATGTGAAAAGTATGGGAACTGAACGGTCCTTTTAATATAAATTTGCACATGCTGTTCAATTTTAGATAATTTTCTTAGAATATGTGCTTTTGTAAAGTTTTTCTCACTTTTGCTCTTGAAGTTTCCTTTGTAAAGCAAAGTTACAAACATAAACAACCATTTATGAATATTGTTTTGTTAAACTCTTTCAGATTTGCCCCTCTTTTCAAGTTTATCCTTCATTTTTCCCCAGGAAAATAGGATCACCCTAACTCTGTTCTACATAATGGGGAGGAACGGACAAAATTAATTAAGGCCACCTAAAGAAGGAAAATATTTCTCTTGGCATTTGCACAATCATTTGGCACACAATGTGAACTTTGAATTTTTTTACAGATTGAATTATTTCAATGTGTAAAATCCCAAAGATACCCAAATCTGATCTATCTAACAGGGTTCCTAGGAATAATAGGGTAAAATGGGTTTAAAGAGTAACAGTCAGCTGTTTTGGACATGAAAAGTGGAGGGTTTTTTGTTTTTTTTTCATTTTTAAGGATTTACGGCTGGACGGTTGATTTACTGTATCAACAATGGAGAACAGAGACAGATTCCCATACAAAGAAGACCGGAAACAGTGACCAGGGAACGCCCTTATCCACAACCACATCTGTCAAACTAAGGAAAGAACTGGTCTAAATGCTCTGATCTAGCTGCTCCAGGACTTCTTCTCCTTGCTGCTCCCACCCCATGTCCAGGCCTCAACTAACTTCTCCAGCCTAACCAGGTGGCCCCAGTGGCTGAAGAGATGCCTTGATTTTCTGGCAAATGATCTTTTTATGGTTGTTCAACAATTGTGTCCCAAGACTCAAGGCCTCAGCCCTTGAAGAGTTTGCAAGAAGGGTTCCTCTTGAACACCTTTTAAGGGTTGTGTGTATCAAATTTGGCAAGTTTAAGATGAGTGGACTTCACGTCCCAGAATTCCTCAGCCAGCATGGGGAAAGGAAAGGCCACCCAGGACAGAATCGCCTACATTTATTAAGTCTCATTTCAACTTAACCACATGGAGACAACCTCAACACAGATATCCTATTTGGAAAGAGAAGTTGCTACTTTTGAGGATATTGTCTGTTTGCTCTGATTTAAAGTTGTTGTTGTTGTTAGTTGCGAAGTCATGTCCGACCCATTGTGACCCCATGTCCTTCCTGTCCTCTACCATCTTCTGGGGTCCATTTAAGCTCACGCCTACTGCTTCAGTGACTCCATCCAGCCACCTCATTCTCTGTCGTCCCCTTCTTCTATTGCCCTCCATCTTTCCCACCATCAGGCTCTTCTCCAGTGAGTCCTTCCTTCTCATTAGGTGGCCAAAGTATTTGAGTTTCAACTTCAGGATCTGGCCTTCTAAAGAGCAGTCAGGGCTGATCTCCTCTAGGACTGACCGGTTTGATCGCCTTGCAGTCCAAGGGACTCACAGGAGTCTTCTCCAGCACCATAGTTCAAAGGCCTCAATTCTTTGGCGTTCAGCCTTTCTTATGGTCGATTACAGTTACAGTTGCTAAACAAAACCCTCGCAATTTTGAGCTCTAGGATGCCTGGTTAAAGGCCATGTTATTCTTTCCATTTCTAAAATCATTTGTAGTGCTTTTAGAAACTTTATATTACACGTTCAGGTGTTCGGTTTATGGTGGTTTTTTCCCATCCTCAGCATATATTTATTATTTTGGTTTGTCTCACAGTTAGCCAGAATGGATTTGGCATTTTAATCTATCTAGCAAGTCCTTCCCAAAGACCTGGGAATTATTATTTATTAGTATCATAATCCTTGATCAGGATGCTGCTGATTGTTCTTGGTTTTATTATCCCATGTTTCGTTCTTCGCATTTCACAATGCCCAGAGAACAGCAAATATAGTAACTTTTAAATACACATTTATCTTCCAATTACTGTGGCCAAACTATTCAGACTCTCTTTTCCAGTTCGGTTCTGGTTTTGCTTACTTAGAAACACCCTCCCCCTCAAGTCAGTAAAATTTACCTTTAGGTAAATCTGCAAAGGAGCCTGTACAGGTGGTCCCTGACTTATGATCACAACTGAGCCCAACATTTCTGTTGCTAAGCAAGAAGAGCTATTGAGTTGTGCCCCATTTCATGACCTTTTTTGCCACAATTGTTAAGTGAAACTCTGCAGCTGTTAAGTGAATCATGTGGTTGTTAAGTGAATCTGGTTTTCCTCATGGAGTCTCTTTTTAGAAGCTGGCTTCTAAAGGTCACAAACGGTGATCACATGACCCCGGGATGCTGCAACGATTGTAAATACATGCCAGTTGCCAAGCATCGGAATTTTGATCATGGGATACTGCAACAGTTATGTGAGAACGGGTAATAGGTCACTTTTTCAGTGCCATTGCAACTCTGAATTGTCACTAAACAAACAGCTGTAAGTCGAGGACTACCTGTACACAGTCATAAATGGGAAGGAAAACATGGCTGCAAAAGTTTGAGGCCGAAGGTAAAACTTCCCACTTGCAGCTCACATGTTCCAAGTACGTCACCCGTGCTCGATTCCCTTGAGAACTGGCCCTGGTGACCCCCACCAGCCAGGCCCCAATCTGATTTAATTAAACTTTATTTGATAATTTTCACCGCACGGAATAAACACTGGGACTCTTTTCGGCAAAATTAAACCTGACATGTTAAGCTCTCAAGGGGCTTAATTCCTGCACCTATGAAGTTTTTTTTTTACATTGTCATGGAAACAGATTACAAAGGCTGGGGTCCAATCCCCTTGAGCTTTCCAGTTGTCTGAGCAACCCCTATTTAAAAAAAAAAAAGAGGTGGGAGGGAGAAGAGGTCACAAGCTCCTTTCAATTCCAGGCTTATGATTATCCGGAGGCACCTGCAACATAGCAAGAATTTATACACCAAATGACAGCCCCCAGATTAACTCAATTAAGCAGCTTTGAGCAAGGCTGATGTTCTTAACTTTGTTGTTTAACCATGCTTAGTCGATACAGTCTTCCCCCCCACTCCCCCAAACATGGCCAACAATGATCACTGGTTCAAACTGTTGTCTCAACAGAGGGCTTTGCTAGTGTGTTTCTTCAAAAAGAGAAGAACTGCCATCAGCCGAGCAAAAGAATGCCGGGCGTCCCACAATTCCGTGCGAACTGCTTTGGAAACTGAGATGGAATCCCAGCAAATTCACATTTACCAGCACCACCTCTAACAAGGACTTGTTGAGCCTCTAGAAAGAGTACAGAGATGATCAGGGGACTGGAAGCTAAAACATATTTAGAACAGTTGCAGGAATTGGGTATGTCTAGTTTAATGTAAAGAAAGACTAGGGGTGATATAATAGCAGTGTTCCAATATCTTAGGAGTTGCCACAAAGAAGAGGGAGTCAAGCTATTCTCCAAAGCACCTGAAGGCAGGACAAGAAGCAATGGATGGAAACTAACCAAAGATAGAAGCAACCTAGAACTAAGGAGAAAATTCCTGACAGAACAATTAATCAGTGGAAAGACTTGCTTCCAGAAATTGTGGATGCTCCAACACTGGGAGTTTCTAAGAGATTGGACAACAATATGTCTGAAATGGTATAGGACAGTGATAGGCAACCTTGGCTCTTTTATGACTCGTGGACTTCAACTCCCAGAATTCCTGAGCCAGCATGGCTCAGCTTGGAAACCTCTCCCTTTCCCCTCAGCATGGCTGGCTCAGGAATTCTGGGAGTTGAAGTCCACGAGTCATAAAAGAGCCAAAGTTGCCTACTCCTGGTGTAGGATCTCCTGCTTGAGCAAGGGGTTGGACTAGAAGATCTCCAAGGTCCCTTCCAACTCTGTTATTCTGACTTGCACAGTTATACAGGTAGTCCTTGACTTACAAGCACAGCTGAGCCCCAAATTTCCATTGCTAAGCAAGATGGTTATTAAATGAGATTTGCCGCATTGTACAACCTTTCTTGTCACAGTTGTTAAGTGAATCATTACCATTTTAAAAATAATAACAATAATAAGTGAATCTGACATCACCATTGATTTTGTCAGAAGGTGGCCAAAGGAGTTCACAGGACCCGGGGACATTGCAAAGTGATAAATACATGCCAGTTGCCAAGTGTCGAGTTTTGATCATGTGGCCACAGGAATGCTGCAACAGTTTGACCACTGGTCATAAGTCACTTTTTTCAGTGCCGTTGTAAGTTCCAACGGTCAGTAAACAAATGGTTGTAAGTCAAGGACTACCTGTAAACCCAATGTCCCAGACACCGCATGGCTACTGCCACTCCTCTTTTCAAATTTGCTCACCTGGCGCCAGGTACGCAGCGGACATACATGCAACTCACTCGGTTCCCTCGGCTGCTTTTGGTAAGGAACACCTCAACGGTGTCCAGTTCTCGTTGGGTATACTGGAAATCAGCCCGGTCCGTCAAATGAAGCTTCCAGCGAGCCATGGTGCCACTCCGGGAGGAGGCGTTGCTGGTGCTGCCCGCAGGATCTGGTTCCGGGACAATTGAATAGGTGGGGTCTGGAGGTAGGAAGGCCAGCTTGGCAGCTATCCGACTAGGGCAAGGTGGGCAGCAGAAAAGACAGCAGAGTTCAGTAACCGTCAGCCCATTCATGGCCGCGGGTGGGATCAAGGAGAGGGACTATGGGGTATAGGGTAATTTTCAGGGAAAAGCAGGAGTCCCACAAGCAGGGCAATCCAACCAGTTACGAAAATATTTCAGCCTCCAGTGAAATGCAGGGAGTCTTTAGCACATGTCCGCTCAGAACAGCCATAACTGGGGGGTCCTGCATTCCAACATAGAGAATCTTGAAGTCTCTCTCTGCACATGAGTTTTGTTGCACAGAATCCTAAAAAACAAAACAAGAGAGGAAATTATTTTTTTTCCCCATGAAGGAGATCCAATAAAAGCAACGGGAATGGTCGTAATTTATGGATTCTTATGGATCTTCTTATATGCCGCCCATTTCACCTGGAGGCGACTCTATATATTTATGATGGTTGCAGTGTCCCAGGGTCATGTGATAATTTGTTGTGAACTTCTGACAAACCAAGTCAAAGGGGAAGCCAGACTCACTTAACATCCGTGTTAGTAACTTAACAACTGCAATGATTCACTTAACAACCGTGGCAAGAAAGGTTGTAAAATGGGACAAAACTCACTGTCTTGCTTAGCAGTGGAAATTTTGGGCTCACATTGTAAGTTGAGGACTACCTGTATTTCCCAACCTTAGCCCTTTTTAAAGATGTGTGGACCTTTTTAAGATGCGTTGCTGGCTGAGATATTCTGGAGTTGAAGTCCACACATCTTAAAATAGTTAAATTTGGGAAACAGAGATCTAGTCTAGTGTTATCAAATACGCTGTGGAAGCCAAGCTAGTTGTCACAGCATCCCCAAGATTAGTCCAGCAAAATTCAGGTGTCATGTTTCAATGGTATGATTTTAGGGTTTTGGACCCTTTATGAAAGATATGACAGTTGTTTGCCTTCTACTTCCGCTCCAAGCTTTAATTATCCTCCGGGGGAAAAAACATACAATTTTCTAAAGGAAATCAACCCTGACCATTCTTCGGAAGGAGAGATACTGAAGCTGAAACCCAAATACTCTGGACACCAAATGAGAAGAGAGGATTCATTGGAAAAGACCCTGATGTTGGGAAAGATGGAAGGCAAAAAGGAGAAGGGGATGGCAGAGGATGAGATGGTTAGATGGTGTCATCAACGCAATGATGTTGAATTTGGGCAAACTCTGGGAGACAGTGGAAGACAAGGGAGCCTGGCGTGCTGTGGTCCATGGGGTTTCGAAGAGAACATCTTAACGACTGAACAACAACAAATAAAATTTCAACCATACTCCATCTACTGATATCATCTGTGGTCTCCTAGTTCAGGGGTCTTCAACCTTGACAACTTTAAGACTTGTGGACTTCAGCTCTCAGAATTCCTCAGCCAGTTATGCTGGCTGAGAAATTCTGAGAGCTGAAGTCCACAAGTCTTAAAGTTGTCAAGGTTGAAGACCCCTGTCCTAGTTCCTTCTAAGTTAAGTTCAGAGCTGTTCTATATCAGCAGTCCCCAATCTTTCTGGCTTGGCGGACCGTGGGGGGGGGGAAGGGGATGGTCCCGTGTGAGTGGCAGGCGCACGCGTGAGCACATGCATCTCCATTTGCACACGAGCGAAAGCACCCGCCACTCACACAAATGGAGCTTTGCGCGTGGTAGAGGGCTGCGGCCAAGGAATTGGGACCCCTGTTCTATATGATCTTGAGATTCTTTCTGATTCTTATTCAATGTTAAGAAAGCAGCTTAGAGCAGTAGGAGTAACATGGGACTTGGGATGCTAGACTGTTCACTGGCCCTTTAAAACACGCCTACCCATAAAATTTCACACAGAAACCAGCCTCATTAACAATCTTTTCAAACATTTGATCATCCTACACAACAAGAGAGCAAGGAGAGGGTTAACGTGTACAAGTGCTTGCTCATTCCTGATTTGCAGCCAATAATTCATCACACATATATGAACGCATAACCAAAACAATGATATAAACATATCCATGCAATTTCCGCGAATAGAAATATCACAAAGGAAAAAGGAATTTTTCTACAAAAGCTGATCATAACACAAGGTAGAAGATTGGATCACAACATTAACTGAACTTGCAGAAGTGCCAAAGTTGATTAATTTGGTCAGGAGAAAAAAAATAAAAGACTTTTTAAGAAAAGACTGGACAACCATTTGTCTGAAATGGTATAGGTTTTCCTGCCTGAGCAGGGGGTGGGACTAGAAGATCTCCAAAGGGCCCTATCCAACATCATCATCATCATCATCATCTGAAATCCTTGCATGGATTTTTTGCTGAAAGAAGAAAAAATGAATTATGAGATTTGGGGATTAAAATAAAAGGAAGAAGTTAGGGAAACATTTAATATGACGATGACTTGATAGAAGGGCAGAAGGCAATTATTGTATGTTTTTCTCTTTTTTCCTTTTCAGTTTGCTTTTCTATTATTTTCTATTTTGGTTCTTGCTTGTGTTGTATATTTTACAGGATTACACTGAAAATGTGTGTGTGTGTATACACAAAGCTGAACAGAACAAAATTGAACACACTGTATTTTCATCTTAGGATCTAAATTTGAAGGAATTTATGGGGTAGGGAATTCCCAATCTTGATTAAATCTAGATTAAACTAGGTTTAACAGACCTACCTTTGTTCTGGTAGCATTCATGCCTCATTGTTTACTTTTCGTGTAATGTTTTAAGTTTAAAGCTTTTATGATCCCAGTATATTTACTGTATATCCCACCTTTATTATTTTTATAAATAACTCAAGGCAGCGAACATATCCAACGCAACTTCCTCCTTATTTTTCCCCCACAATAGCAACCCCTGAGGCGGGTTTGGGCTAAGACGGGAGTCACTGGCCCAAAGTCACCCAGCCGGCTTTTTATGAAGCAAAGCAAGTTTCATAGAAAATGTGAACCCATCCAACCAGAGACAAATCACACGAACATCATATAATAACCCAAGGTATGTTACTGTTACTTGTCTTAGAATTAGCAAAAGGCCATCAAAGCTATCCAGCTGTCCCAAAGGTGCTTTTTCTAACTGAAGAGGCTTCTTGGATGAGAAGCAAATGTTTTCAAAGAAAAAACTAAGAAAGTCCAGTTGCCTTTTGGAAGAAAAGCACCTTTGGAACAACCATGATCTGGATGATTATGAATCTCCATAGACATCAAGACATCCAGCTGAACTTCCTGTTCAATGCCAGACTGATAATAAATCTGAATAATTAACATTTGTCTTCACCCCATTCAATACAGAGAAGTTTTCCACCTTTCTATCATGAGAAATTTTTTTGAGTTCTTATTGGACCGCAAAGTAAGATATAAATATAGAATCATCACAGCAATGCATCAATGTCCATTACAAACAATGATGTCAAAATCATGACTCAGGGGTCACATCAGAACTCTCTAATCAGGACTGGGGAAAAATATGTCAAGGAACAAGCCCTTATGAGTTTGATAAAGATTTATTCAGAAAAATGCTTAAGGTGATAGCACAAGTGTTGCAACAAGTACTTTGGCCTTCTAATCTGAAATTTATATGCAAGCATATAACAACAACAACAACAATAATAATGATAATGTTGGAAAGGACCTTGGAGGTCATCTAGTCCAACCCCCTGCTCAGGCAGGAAACCCTATACTATTTCGGACAAATGGCTGTCCAGTCTCTTCTTAAAAACTTCCAGTGTTGGAGCATTCCCAGCTTCTGGAGACAGGTTGTTCCACTGGTTGATTGTTCTAACTGTCAGGAAGTTTCTCCTTAGTTCTAGGTTGCTTCTCTCTTTGGTTAGTTTCCTTCCATTGCTTCTTTTCCTGCCTTCAGGTGCTTTGGAGAATAGCTTGATTCCCTCTTCTTTGTGGCAGGCCCCGAGATACTGGAACACTGCTATGATGTCCCCCCTCATCCTTCTCTTCATTAAATTAGACCTACCCAATTCCAGCAGCCGTTCCTTATATGTTTTAGCCTCCAGTCCCCTAATAATCTTTGTTGCTGTTCTCTGTACTCTTTCTAGAGTCTCAACATCTTTTTTACATTGTGGTGATCAAAACTGGATTTGGGATTCCAAGTATCGCCTTACCAAGGCATTGTAAAGTGGTATTAACACTTCACGTGATCTTGATTCTATCCCTCTGTTAATGCAGCCTAGCACTGTGTTGGCTTTTTTGGCAGCTGCAGCACACTGCTGGCTCATATTTAAACCACTAGTGTTTTTCTTGGCTTCCTTCACTTTTTGGTGAAGAAGAAAGAAAATCTATCTTACGCTACAGCTACTAGGTTTATTATCAGCATGACTCTACTCTCACAGGCAAGATATCTTGCAAGTGAAGAGATAATGTAATTTACATCATGTCTATGATAAGCATACAAACATTTGCATGATGACATCATGCAGCAGATCATCAATTCTCTCCAAAGACGTCTATGCAACCTTGATGAGGGTACAACCAATTCACAGAATATCCCTCCCCCAAGTCCTATGAACAATGAAACTGGACCTGTTCCTCACCCAGGCAGTCTTCCAAGATCCAATACATCCCTTCCTGATCACCTTGGTAACATTAGTCTTGGTAACATTCTCAATCTTGGTAACATTAAAATGGGTGGACTTCAACCCCCAGAATTCCCCAGTCAGCCATGCTGGCTGGGGAATTCTGGGAGTTGAAGTCCACCTAATATTAATCTGGCCATGGTTGAGAAATACTGACCTAAAACTATCCACAAAGTCTTTTTTTTTTTAAAAAAAAATAAGGAGTAGGAGGACACTACCAATCTGCTTGCTTTGAAAAAATAATAATAACAACAGCAACAACTGAATTTGTGCAGGAGTTTGTGAATTGTGAAGCTTCTACCTACAACCATAGTAGCTTAAGATAAGGCTGCATCTACCCACATCTCTCGCATCAGCTTCAGAGCCTCAGAGACTCCAAAGCAGTGGTTCTCAACCTTTTTAATGCCGCGACCCCAACCAGTCGTAAGTCGAGGACTAAACCGGTCGTAAGTTGAGGACTACCCAACCGGTCGTAAGTTGAGGACTTTCCCTCCCCGGGAGCGCCGCGCATGCGTGGTTCCGCCCCTGCACCGGCCGAGGCGTAGCTGGCAAGCGGCACAGACGGAGCAGGCCAACCACCAGCTGGCCCAGCCCAAGGGAGGTAAGGCACCCGCCGGAAAAGGGGAAAAAATGGCAGACAAAAAAAATGGCGGACAAAAAAAATGGCAGACAGCCTTGCTTGGCGACCCCCGTGAAATGGTCGATCGACACCAAATGGGGTCCCGACCCACAGGTTGAGAACCACTGCTCCAAAGCCAATCCAAACCTCACACTGCTTGTGTCAGACCAATACACAGTGGCCTCATGAATAACATCATTAACAGAATACTACAGCTCCCCCTCAGCACTCCAGTTTGAAGCCACATTAGTCATTGGAAAGCAAAAAGGACATATTTTCACTGACGCTCCTCCCCCTCTACACAAAGCCCCTACTCCACCCCTTCAATTGCATACTCCAAAAGCTCCTCATACATACTGCATTATCCTACCCATTATCCCCATCCGGCATCACTTTTACCTATAAGAACGTCAACCAGGCCTCCACCCTTCGGCACTTTCCAAGCATGCCTAACTTTATCCCAACAGCTCAAACTCTTCTTGCTGGGGATCATGGGCACTGTAGTTCAGACGTGTTGAAAGGGCTCGGGATGGGGCGGGCCAACGCAGAAACAGCAAAACCCATCCCCAGTCAAGTCAGGCCCTACCTTTAACAGCGATCGAGAGAGAGATTTTTTTTCGCCGAGTAGTACCCCTGGAGTAAATCCCGCACGCTTTCACGGACTGCTCGTGGGTGGAAACAGAGCCCAGCCCACGAGGGGTGGGGGGATCGCTATTTTGGCAGGCAGGAATTGTGGAAATCCCAGCGAAATTCTCTCCAACGGTCCCGATTAACAGCAAGAGATTCTCGAGGGAACGGACAAAACGAGCGTGCGGAGAACGGAGGTCTTAGCGGCACATGACATCATCGGAGCTGTCACTACACACAAACATCTACACGCGAGGTAGCTGGGGCACTTTGGGGACCCGGGCACCCCCGAGATCTGCTCCCGAGCAGCCCTGCAAGCCCGCTCCCCAGCCAGCCACGGCAAGGCTCCCCCCCCCCTCTTTGGCGTAAATAAAGGCAAGAGGTCGTCGTCGTCTCGGGAGAACCGAGAAACACACCTCCCCTTGCAAAAGGGAGGAGACCCAAACCCACGAGCGAGCCCCAGACGTCAGAAACTACCGCACCGGTCCGGAATCCCGGAGAAAAACGCTCGCTGAGTGTTGAAGCCGCCGCCGCCGCCGCCCGCCGCCCCAGGCTCGATCCTTTCCAGGGATGGAGAGGCGGCGCGGATCACGCCCGGACGCCCCAAACTCTCCCTCGGCCAGCGTGGAGGGTAGCCAGCCCAAACCCCGCGAGGATCCCGAGCCTGCTCTCCCCCCCCCCCGGGACGCCCGTTCCGCGCCCGTAATCACCCGCGCCTGCCCCCTGCTCCGCGTCGCCAGCGGGGGTCCCCGTCGCCTTGGGCTCGCAGCGGCTCCGCGAAGGGCAGCTGGCGAGTCTCTCCCTTCGGCCGGCAGGTGGCCTGTCCTCCGTTCCCCCTTCTGCTGAGGCCGCGGGCAGCCCCGCGCTCAGCCGCCAAGCCCTCGTCCGGCCCGGCTCTGTTGTTTCCCGGCTCCCGCTCGGGAGCTCCAACCGGGCGCCCCTGCGCTCCGCATTACGCGTCGGGCCTGCAAGTTGGAACGAGCGGCCGCTGCTGCGCCGGGCCTCCCACCCTCTGGCGTCTCTTCCTCCCGGGGAGGCGGATGTGACAGCGCGACGCCAGCGCTGGAAATGACGACACCCGGCCGGGTGGGGCTTTCAGGAGGCAGAAATGGTGGGGAGGGTCTCCAGGGGAGACGAGGGGAGCTCCCCAAGCCGCGCTAAACGTGGGCGCCAGTCGGACAGTTTCCAGGAGGAAAAGGCGTCGGAGACCCTGTTCGAGCGGCCTGCAAAGCCGTGGCTTAGGGCAGAGTTTCTCAAAAGGTGGTCCCAGGATCCTTGTGGGGGTCCCCCAGGACTTTGGGGAGGGATCTTCCAGGATCCTCGAGGGGGTCCGCGAAACCGAAACGGTTTGCCAGCTTGCGTTGAAAAATAACGCCGTATTAAAATCCCACCGTATAATGGTGAAAAGCAACAGTGGCAGCGAATGCGTTCATTTAAATCAGGGGTAGTCAACCTTGGCTCTTTTATGACTCGTGGACTTCAATTCCCAGAATTCCTGAGCCAGCTTAGCTGGCTCAGGAATTCTGGGAGTTGAAGTCCACGAGTCATAAAAGAGCCAAGGTTGACTACCCCTGATTTAAATGTTTAATCTGGTCAGTGTCGATGCAGGTGGCCCATACAAACGAAAGCTTTTTGGGGGGCACTCCGTAATTTTTTAAAAAATGGGAAGGGGCCCTGAGAGAGAAGAAGAAGAAAGCGCTGAGGGGGAAAAAAAAGAAACACTGGTTTAGAAAATAACCCCAACTGTCTTGACTTCAAATGCTTGCAAGCAGTCGCGTTTCGGCTTAGCGGGATCTAACCACCGCGGTTTGTAAACAGCGAGTTCAGACGGAGGTTGTCTCTGCCCCTGAGACTCAGTATCATGGCTTAGTTAATCCACTATTTACATCCAGGCTGTTACATGTATAAAGGCATGTGTCCTCCAAGGAGCAACTGCCAGATTACTAGGATCAAGCAGGACTGTGATCAGGGGCCACAGCCGAACCCCATCCAAGCCCACCTCTGAGCTGTCCTGCAGCTTCTGTAGTTCAGTGCATGGGCTACAAATCCTGAAAATGGAGTAATTAAGATATTAGTCTTGAATCAGGGCGGGTTGAACCCAGCCTCAGTTACCTAGATCAGGGCTTTTCAACGACTGGTACGGGTACCACCTGTGGTACATTGGCACCTGGCAGGTGGTACGCGACCATCCTAGAAAAGTGATAGCGGGGGAGGGGAATGAGCTGAACTGGGGGCAGCACCGCACAAGCCTGAGCGAGAGATGGCTGGAGATGCAGGGCTCAGCGGAAGCGCCGGATCAGCGCTTCTTCGGGGCTGTCAGGGCTCAGTGGAAGCACCAGGATCAGTGCCAGGCTCCACCTGGAGCTCGGCACTGATCCTGATGCTTCTGCTGAGCCCTGAAGAAGCGCCAATCAGCTGGAATGTTGCAGCATCTCCAGGGTCTTGTGATTTACATTCAGATGCTTGGCAACTGATTCATATTTATGACGGTCACAGTGTCCCAGGGTCATGTGAAGTGACCAAAACCTGCTGCAACCACCCAGCAGATGGGGGGGGGGAATAAAAACCAAACACCCCCCCACCCCACCCCCGCTGCCAATCCTCAACAGAAATGCTCACAACAATGAAAACCTCGGACAGGAGGAAGAGCGCGGGCGGGCAGGCAGATGTCTTGCTCGGCTGTGGCTTGGGAGGCACTTTTTTCAGTGCCATTGTAACTTCGAACAGTCACTAAGCGAACTGTTGTAAGTCGAGGATTACCTGTACTTTATCACTTTTTTCTCTCTTTTTTTTTTTTGGTCATCAAGTTTTTGACACCTTGCTAGGCAACTGGTGGTACTCAGATGTTGCCATATCTTAAAAGTGGTACAGTGGGTGAAAAGGTTGAAAAGCCCTGACCTAGATGCTTGAATCAAGGATCTTCACCCCATTGAAATGTGATTGCAGGTAACCATTGAGCATTTTTGCTAATTTGCAAGGGTTGTTATCACAGCATTGATTTGGTAGGGCAAGGCAGGTACATGAAACATGCCAGCCTTCTGGAAAATGTCATCATTAGTCCTCTGAAAAAAACGTGCCTTGTGTTTCCTCTTTAACACTATTCAAGCTGAGAAAACTACCTTTTCTTGCAGGGTGCCTGTTGCGCCTCTGCATGAGTCTGCCTTGGGAAAACCTCCTCCTTCCAAACAGACTTTTTCAAGGTCTGGGATAAAAGTTCTGCTTTGCATATCAAGTGTTTGAGGGAAATAGTTTTACTATGAGACAAACTGTGATATTAAATTCTTTCTGAGACTTGCAGAAGTCATTACATTGGATTCTTCTGTGTTCTTTGAGTCATAAAGAAATGCACAAGATAAGCCTTAAAGGATATTTACTCTTCTTTTTACAGTTCTCAGAAGTAAAATCTTCATGCTTCCATTTTCTGTTCAGAGAAAACAAATACACCAGAAACTTGTTAACAGGGCTCTTTATCCACTGCTTTATCCACTGCTTAGATAAATGTGAAAATTGCTGCCACAAAAAATATTGTCTATTGGCTTGGATGAATTTGAAAGTGAAGGTAGAAAAATGCAGCCTTCGGATTTGGAGGATATACAGATAGGCCTCGACTTACCATCATTTTTTTAGTGACCGTTCAAAGTTACAATGGCATTGAAAAAAGTGACTTGTGACTGTTTTTCACACAACCCTTGCAGCATCTCTATGGTCACATGATCAAAATACAGGCGCTTGGCAACTGTCACATATTTGAGCCCAAAATGTTTGTTGCTAAGCAAGACAGTTACGTGAGTTTTGTCCTATTTTACAACTTTCTTGCCACAGTTTTTAAGTGAATCACTGCAGCTGTTCAGTTAGTAACACAGTTATTAAGTGAATCTGGCTTCCCCATAACTTTGCTTGTCAGAAGGTCGCAAAAGGTGATCACGTGACCCCAGGACACTGCAACAGTCGAAAATATATGCTAGTTGCCAAGCATCTCAGTTCTGATCACGTGACTAAGGGGATGCTGCAACGGTCATAAGTGTGGAAAACAGTCATACGTCACTTTTTTCAGTGCTGTTGTAACTTTGAATGGTCACTAAATGAATGTAAGTTCTCGGCTATCAGTATCTACATTTTTTTCATAGAGCAGCAAAGCTGGGGCTCTTCAATTTGGAACTTAAGAGCTGTTGCTTTATATTGTTATATTTATGTTATAATGATTTTTATGATGAGGGGATGGAGGAAAAAATTATAGGTAGTCCTCGACTTACAACTATTTAAATGTATAACGGCACTGAAAAAACCAGTGCAACCAGTCCTTGCACTTACAACTGTGGCAGCATTCCCCAGTCATGTGATCAGAATTCAGGTAACTAGCAATTCTCATGTGTTTACAACAGTTGCGTGTCCTGGGGTCATTTGCGACTACCAGCTGGCTTCTGAGAAGCAAAGTCAATGGAAGAAACTGGATATCCTTAATGACGATCTTATTCACTTAATAGTGATTTTCTTAACTATGGCAAAAGAGGCTGTAAAATCAGGTGCAACTCACTTGACCACCTTGCTTAGCAACAGAAATTCTAGTCCCAATTGTTGTAAGTTGAAGACCACCTGTATATGCTGCTTCTAATAAATCTTAAAGTTGAATTAGCTGATTCAAGTCATGAAGAACGTTTCAAGTCCAGTTCACCCCCTGGTGACTTCACGGACATGTCTAGAATTACCTTGAGCCTATACGTTTTATAAATAAATATGTGGAGATTTTCTATAACAGTCTGAAAGTAATTTGCTGTTGTCTTCTAAATTGTTTTTTCTGCTGCTCAGCCTGGTGATCTTCCAGCTAAGAACTAGGCAAGTCCTGCGCTATTTTCCAGTTCAGCAAACTTTGGCTACAGCGCATGACCCACTATTTTTGAGAATGCAAAATCTAGGAATGATGTGGCTGTGGAACAATCCCTACTTGCTTTTTTAAAAATAATACAATTATTTAATTACCTCTGTTGTCTTACATCTTCCCAGCCTACCAGAATGGGAAGCCAGGGTATGCTCCAGCTCCAATTAAGGAAATACCCCTGATGGAATCTAGAGCAGGGGTGGGGAACCTTGGCCCTTTTATGACTTGTGGACTTCAACTCCCAGAATTCCTGGCTCAGGAATTCTGGGAGTTGAAGTCCACAAGTCATAAAAGAGCCAAGGTTCCCCACCCCTGCTCCAGAGGAAGGACTTTCCCTGTAGTGCAGTGTTTCTCAACCTTGACAATTTTAAGGCATGTGGACTTCAACTCCCAGAATTCCACAGCCAGCAATGCTGGCTGTGGAATTCTGGGAGTTGAAGTCCACATGCCTTAAAATTGTCAAGGTTGAGAAACACTGCTGTAGTGGCTCCCTCCCTCCAGAACATAATTCAGAAATAAGGTTGACCTTTGCTACTTTTCTGGGAAGCCCTAAAAACATTGTTCTGTCAGCAGGCCTGCGAACCCAGGTTGATTTGGAGCCAATCCAGTGGTTTATGTGATTGTATTTGTCACTGTCTCGAGGGGTGGGAGTTTCTGGCCTTTTCATTTTATTGATATTTAGTGCTGTACACTACCCTGAATTCACCGTGTGCGAGTTTGGCAGCCATATAAACCTATTTAATAAGCAAATAAATACACTTTTCAGCACAAAGTTGAATTGTATGCAGGTGTCAACCATTGTTGTTGTTGTTGTTGTTTTTAAAAAAACACCACCTGCTTTTTGTTTTCCACTCTGA